AGAAAAATCTAAAAATAGACACATCTATGAAAATGCTATAACAGTCCTGTATAAGRACATGGATACTCCTAGTAATGGGCTCTTGACAAACACAAATAGAGGAAATAATACAATTCATAGAAAGCACTTAAGAAAAAAGAGRTAAAAGAAGAAAAACAAAGAGACAGTCAACTGACCTATTTCAGCCAAGTAAGATACTCCACATTCATCATCAAATTCAAACAGATTCTCCAAAGCTGTAGCAAATCTTTTGAATGTTGCACTCTCCATTATATCTKAAATAAAGAACTTGATTTAATGGTAATCTGTTATAAACCTACTGTGTTTACTAATATAATTATTGAATTAATAAAACATCCTTGACAAAAATGTAGTAATAGCTAACCATCTTCATCTGTTAGACCAGAATTCTTCTTGGATTTCATCTTCTTTTTCTTCTTAGGTCGTACTATAGGGGAGATAATATTTAGAAATTATTATTATAAATTAATAATAAATAATAGCCAACTCTTTTGTAGTAACGCTATACCTTTTTCAGTCTCAGTATCACTCTGTCTATCACCCTCTTCAAAAGATCTTCTCCTTTTCTTTCTTAATACAAAATCTTCTTCTTCACCTGGCATCACTGTTCTGACACTGTGAGTCTCAATCTCTTTTGAGCCTCTCCGTTCTTTGATTTTAGTAATCACTAGCTTAGGAATGCATAGTTGAAGTTCTTTAAGTGGAGTCAAACCTGAACCAACCTTGATATCATTATGAGATTGATCTCCGTCAAGATAAAGCAAATCAACTGAATTGTTCAAGTCTATTGTTCTTGAATTAAACTTTTTGGGCGTCTCTGGGACATTTTCACTTTGGTTGTTAGAAAGATCATTATTTCTTATGTTCATTTCATATATATCAACATCTTGATCATGTTGTTTATTTGCCTTCAATGTTTTGCTCATGTGATTTTTCTTTGATTTTTTTGTTGAAGGATAAGAAAAACCAGATTCAATTGTAGTTTCTGTTATAGTAGACTCATAACTTATATTCTGTACATCCTCCAAGGTAGTCTTATCCACAGAAAACTGACTGTTTAAGTCAATCATTTCAATAGGATTTACACTGCTTGATACATGATTAGGTTTACTAATCTCAGTTCTATAAGCTTCTTGTAAAGTCCATTGATCATTAGGACTTGATGATTTGGTGTTAATTTTTGATGAATTTGGAATGTTTACATTTTGTGATGAGTTTGACGCCATGGAAAACCCATTACTGGATGCCATAGCCTCAAGAGCTGATATACTATTATATCCAGGTGAACGTTGAGGTGGTGAGGTCATGTGATCTGTTGTTCCTGGGATGTTTCTATTGGAATTCCTTGATCTTGGTGAAATTGGCAGCATTGTGTGACTACCAGCTGAAACAAATATTAAAACATTTTTAATATATCATATGCATCCATTTCCCATTTCATTCAATCCTGTTTCAACTCAGTGTATTTATTCCTGTATAATACCTTGATTTGGCGATAGTTGTGGCTGAAATTGCACTGAGGATGAATTATCTGGGGAAAGATGAGATAAGCTTTGTCTCATTCTTCTGGTCTTGACAGGTGAATAAGCTTGTTGGTTGCTTGCTTGCAAGTGTACTATCAGTAACAAACAACAAGTTCTATTTTCATTATCAATTACACAACTGATTGGTTAACAAACATCATTTATGAATCAAGAAGTACAATAGAAAACTTTTAAAGTTTCTTATAGCTTGTAATATTATTGTAATAATTATCTGCTATAATAGTTGTTGCTTGTTGCCTATTGTGCTCTATAGAGCTACATGTATGCACCAAATGTGTTCTCATTGACTAGCAACTTTTACATTAACACTACGCCAAGCTATAACTTCAATCCTAGTGAGAAAAGCACTAACTACACCACTGGGAGCTCTTTGCCCTACACTTAGTTGAATAGTGTCCAATAGTAGTGTAATAACCATAATCTTTCAGACAACCTAATTTAGAAATAGCTATACCTGCATAAATCAAACTGACCTTGGTGATTAGGACTCATGATATTAGTCTGTCCTGTCCGATGAGGTGAAAAAGCTTGTGGTATTTGAGCATAGGAGGACAAAGGACTCCCTACACTAGATGGACTGTGATGTAATGTCTGAGAATAAGGTGAATTAACTTGTGCTAGGCCAGGTGGTGATCCAGCATACATTGGAGACACTGCTACTGGTACAGTTTGGTTTGGAGACATTTGAGGTGAAATTGTATTGTGGCACAATGAAGGAATACCTGTTATCAAATTGTTCATAATGATTGATTATAGGTTCCAAAGAGTTACCATTACTCATGTACAGTTGAAACTTAATTATCCAGACTCAATGATGACTTCCATAATGGCTGACACTAATTAGCATAATATCGTTATTTTTTTCAAACTCAGATGATAGACATCAAAGCTAAAGATAAGTTGGAAAAGTTTTACAGAAAAATATTAAATCCTCTTGAAGCTATAAGGTAATTCCATACAAATCCTTGTATTTTAAGTTCCCCATAACTTCATTAGAATTTAGTCCATAGCTTCAAAACTTTCTAAAAATATTTCTGATAATTCTTCCATATGGCAGTGCTGAAAGTTTCCATAACATTGTTAAATGTACAAAAACAATGGCAAGCACTTATGAAAGTGCTCAATTTGACCAGCACTAAAATGTCAGGATATTCAGAGTCCAGACAATCAAAAATATGAATATTAATGAGACAATACAATAAGGACATTTTAGAAACAATATTTTAGCGGAGAAAACGATCATAGACCACCAATTTAAGTTTAATACGCAAAGCAATTAACAAACAAATTGCCTGTTACTGGTTGAGCAAAGTAGGGCACCGCACTTAATGGCTTTACAAAAGTCCAAAATATATAGACAAATATCAGAAATATTCAGGGGAAATTTTTGGTAATTTGCAAAAATAATACAGCAAATAGACACAAACCTAGCAGATCTTCCAGTTCCAATTTCTCATTTTCTGGAGTAAACAGATGAGGTTCTTGAGTTAGAAGTGCATTGAGAAGTGTTGATTGTTCTTCTCTTACTGGAGTTGGTATATCTTTACTAACATCATCTTTAAGAATACTGTAAGAAAATCCAGAAAAATCAAGAAATTAACCACGATACAAAATGCAGTATTTTTAATAATAATTTAATAATTTTCAAGTTTTTCTTTGGCAATCTAACTGTATTTTACTCTATATGTATATCAATAGCATTTTGCTAATGATCATAGTATACAGTCATCATTTTAGAGTCATTACAACGCATGAGATAGTTGACTGATACTTGTTGGCAGTCCTTTTTATAATTGTTTGCCTTTGTTTTAACTGAAATATTCCTCACTAACCATCAGTTCATGTTTCATAAGTTAAATATAGGCATTTCATTGATAATTGTATGATAAATGTATATTCATAATCATTATTCAGATTTATTAAAATTTTTGTAGCAAATGACCCTCCCCTCCCCTAGTGAAAAAATTCGATTACACAGTGAAAACATTTGTGAATTGAATCATAACCTGTGGAGATACTTAAAAAAAAATGAAATTGCGTTCAAATACAGAAGGAAATTGTTTATTTTTACAAAGTAATTGGATTCTAGTTGTGTATTTGTAGCATGTTTCTGATACTGAAGGGAAAATGTGTGAGAAGTCAAATTTAGTGAATCGGACACAAACAAACGAGAAGCGATATAAACTTAATCATTCATCGTTGAATAACAATAATAAATCAGGGGATATCATGAAATAAAGATACCCTAATTGTAGTTGATCAATGAGAAATATGTTTATATTCAATTTTAAAATAATATCACTAAAAACCAGCTCAATACTTACATTTGCTCTTGAGTAGATTTGCAGCTTCCGAGAGCTTGCTTGATTTGATGAATGACTGTTGCATCGGGACGATTCACAACTTTTTTCGCTTCCTTTTCGACGATTGGGCTACTAAACAGACTTTCCTGGCTTTTTGATGCCGTAGGGCAAGGCAAAGGAAGCTCTGCAAGCACTTTTAGGAGAGCAAAAGAGAAATTATTATCGTTGCGAACGGTGTAAGCAGGTTTCGTCGAGTTTCTTTGTGATCCAAATTTAAATCGTGCATGTTTATCTCATTGAAATGTTTGTAAAATATCGATCGATATTTGTCAATATTAACATATTCAATAACTCAAAGAACCCTTTGAGAGAAAGCTGCATCAAATGAAGTTCATAATCGGCTCCAAATGTGCACACAATCACAATTTTTCAAATGCTACTTACGGTTTGTCAAACTTGTGATCCCTGACAAAGTTGCGATTGGGACGCTTTCATTCATGATAACGAACCAAACGAACACAAATACTCACACAAACATGAAATAAAACACGTTGAATGATGTTTGTAGATCATAACATCCTTAGCGAATATCTTTTACGAGTACATGAATGGCTAAAGACAATAAACCCAACTGTAGCCGCCATATTGCCTTTCGGCCATAATGGCGGGAAGAACTGTTCGAATGCGCGCGAAACCGTGACTCAGGATGCCGCGGCCGTACATCCGGGACTTGTCGGACCTGTACGATAAATCGAAACAAAGGGAGCCCGGTGGATGAACTATATGTCCAAAGGAAGACCAAAACTGAGCGTAGATCAATATACCTATTTAATATATTTGAGCACTTGCCACAAAGACTTGCCCACAAAATTTGATAAAGATACTAGTAAGTTGTAAAAGAAAAGAAATCCTCTCATCGTGGCAGATCTGCAGGGCGGGGGAATATTCAGGATTGAGAGGTGCAGGTCTCTCCAAGGACAAGGACAGCTGTGAATTCCACAAAAATTTTCACAAATGAGACACAAGTTTTTTAAAAGTATCAGTTACAAGGGTACCACAATGCAAGTTGGTCTCAGGGGGTTACCCCTCAAAAACTCCAACTGGATCTGATCAATCTGAGGAGATCTGAGGAACAATAGGTCATGGAGGCCATGTGCACCTGGGGGTCATGTGACCTAACAATCAGCAATCACGAAATGGCAAAAATGGTAACAAATGAAAAATTCTTTAATGTAGTTTTTTCTAAAGAAAGGTATGGGAAAATTAATTGATTCTCTATTTGCTACCATTTTTTCAAGTATTTGATGTTAGGGGACTTGAAACTATGTAATTATGAATGGAACACCCAATTAATATACCATAATAATCAACTTAGCAGCTCCACTAAACATTGAAAATGAAGAGAAATTTATTGTTGTATTAGACAATTAATGATATCAGATTACAGTCTGGCACTGTCATCAATATATATACAAAATTTACATTGTAGCAAGTAGATTGTACAAAAGTATGATTCACGTAGCTTGTGTGCAATGCAGACCATCTTTTTAGGGGAATGTGCTGGGGGTGGTTCCAGGGCACCCTTCCTTGGCAGACAAAGTCTTTAGAAATATGAGCATAGCTGTCAACCCCCCAACTTTTCAAATCTGGAGATTCGTAAAAACCTAATTAACTTAAATTGTTGGATTTTGGGATTCCTGTGGTTACGTGACGTAACGCAACAAAGGGGCTGCTACAGCAAAGCTACATTTATTATTAAACAAACAGAACAAAGAAAATCATAAGTAACAAGTAAGCTCATGATTCAAAAAGTAGCTTTTTCATAAGCGGTAATATTTTAGGTATGTCAAACATTAATACAAGACCATATTCTTACAAGTTTGACGATTATCCGGGAGATTTCAACCTTTATCCGTGAGACCGGGAGACGAGGCTCAAATCTGGAGACTCCCAGCTAATCCGGGTGGGTTGACAGCTATGTATGAGACTTATTTGCCGAATCAAGAAACTCATGAAACCTAGTGCACAAGCCTGATATTATTATCAGTGGTCTGCATGCAAAGCTAAGTTAAAGCAGCATATAATTTGCATATGATGACTGTCAGTTTTGATGATAAAATATTTATAGTTCAGAGCCTTTGTTGCAGGGCTGTAAACTCTCYGTTGCAATCCAAGAAATTTTCAAAACTCTCGTGTTTTTTTAGTGATATATTTACAATATATAACAATGTACGGGACCTGATTTGTGGATAAGCTGTGCAATACTGGTGGTCTGTCCCACGTTTGTGGGGATTTGGCATTTTAAAAATATAAACAAAATAGCATAATTTTATCAGTCTAACGTTGTAAAATTGCTGGGGGTTGACAGCCCTGTCACTGAAGATTTGTTAATATGTAGACTTAATATTGAAAAAAATCTTATTAAAGGTTTTATTGAAGTTTACTTTTACTTTATTTGGAAATGCACTCATCAGGTTCAGTGGTTGTGCAAATAATGCCTAGATAAGCTTGCAGATAAGAAAAGAACAGACTGAATTCTTCATGCTACACTCTATAAATCCTATCAGATGTGACAACAATGTATGTTGTAATATTGTCTATCAAAACCTTGGCAAAATTGATCAAATGTGTCTGAAGCCAATGTGCATTTCCAAGACCTACAAAACTGCGCATTTTTAAATGGTCTCACACAAATACATGTTATGAAATTGTTATCTATTTGAGTACAGTGAAACGTCTTGTTGACTGCATGGCATATGATAGTTGTCAAAAGTTCTAACATGATTGCCAGCCATGTCACATTTGCAAGAAAAATGTAAATTATACAACCAACATAGTTTATTGTGCAATCACACAAATCAAAGTTGCATTTAAACTGTCATTCTAAGTAGAAGAAATATTAGCATCAATGCAGAATTTGTTAAGTATTCTCTAAACGCACACTATAGTGTAACGTTGTAATAATATAATTCATTTTGTTTTACAGCCTTCTGGTTGATAAAAAAAACCATGTTACTTTATCACTTTAAGTTATCTGATGAGGCTTTTGTCAATTTGATTATTGAAGTTCAGCGGAAAGGTTTCTACTTATTTCTTTTATAAGTGGCATTGGATGTTTGCTGGGTTAGCAACTGCCTGTTTATACAATGTACACTGTCAGTCCACCTTTGGACCTTGGTCAAACACTGAGGAAACACATCTCTACCCCTCCTCTACTAATAGATAGCTGCTATGCAGGCTATACAGTCATGCTACCACAAAACAAAAAACACACAACAACTTTGTTGAAGATAATTGCAGACTGAAATGCAATTTTGAGCATGCTTAGTGACAATCATCAAGAAAGTGCATTGCAGTACTTGAATTTGAATTTGTACTTTGAATTACAGGCAAAGTTGTTCCTGTTTATTCCATAGTCAAGCTAGTCTCCTAACAGCCATGTTAAAACAGCTGAGAAGAGACTATAGTCAACACGCAAGACTGTTTACACTGATGATACATTATTAACTTTCTGTAAAACTTGTCAATAAATGAAAAACTTTTTAGTATTTCTGTTTCAAATGATTTTACAGTCAGGCCAAGCTTTTAAACCAAAGAAACCAAGTACCCAAATTTACGATGACAATTTAACAAATTGTGCACAGTTTTGAGTAACGACTTTCATTACATTTTGACATCTTCTGTGTATTATTAGGAGCACAGATGCACAGGAAAATGGAATTGATTTGATAATAGTATTAAGTCTCCATGGTGCAGCTCTTGTGCAAAAGCTTGACCTAGCAATATAAAATATAATAGAAACTAGAAATTGAAGTCTTGATTTTGTCGTGTGTTAACATATTTAGACTTGTATTGAAATATATATTTTAATTATTACTTAGATGAAAATTATCCATCCTGAAATATAAGATGCCTAAACATGAACATAACCTAGAGTTGTTAAGAATAGTACTTTATTTTTTTATAGTTAAAGCTTGAACTAAATTAAACTGTTTTTAATATGTTTTTCACAAGAAATTGTAATTTTCAGTGTTATAGATAACACACTAAACATACATTCATACACTCTATAAATACACTCTGATAAATAATTAATGTCTGGGCATCCTACAATTTCACACCGTCCAAAACAAGTCATATATTCAGAATGTTACCATGATAAAGGTAAATATGTCCATTATATTAGTTATCAACCAATAATTAGAGGTTTTGTCATAATATTCTGATTGTGTTGGAGTATCCTCTGTGTCAGACAAATACATACCAAGCAAGTGAACATTCTTGTCACCTCAAGAACCTTACTAGATCTGGCATAAAAAATATACAAAACATTTCAAAACCAAAGCAAAAGTTCATTACAACATAAAATGTTTAAAGTGGTTATCATTAACTCATGAAACAAAGTTGAAGATGAGGCTACGCACTCCCTGGATAGAGATCAGAAATGCAATCCCAATGCATATTAAATTACACAAGTCATGACACCATTAGAAATCTCATCCAAAAGAGAAAATGCTAAGTACATCTGTCAAGAAAGAATTTGATTTTAAATTGTAATTGTTGGCAATTGAAACTAAGAAAATGCAAATGAAATGATGTCTACTAAGGAATGATATAATATACAACATCATGAAGAGGACGTATTAACTTTGTTACATTGGATTCAAGCATTTTCAACTCTCAATTATTACTATGATTTGATTATTTGAGCTCTTCAACCAAGAAGAAAATAACAAAAACAAAAAGTTTGGAGCAATTCCTTAGTTTCGCTGACTTAGCTCATTTGCATTTTCAATTTTCAAATGTCTATACCTCAGAAAAAAACAATGCTCAATCTATTTCTTTCTTTCACAGAAGTACTTGGCAGCTTTGAATAAAAGTGATTTTCTAAAAGGTGTCATGTGCACTTGGGTCATTGGTTGACATTAAAAATTGATGAAGTATCTGGTTAAAACTATTTATAATTGCATTGATGACATTAATAGGGGATATGCTAATAACAAATTTGATGACATACAACCTAATTAACATAAACTGAAATTTGCATACAAGGCCCAGGTCCTTGCGTCCATTCTGAAAATTATTTCTCTTACAAAGAAATAAAATATGACATGCAACCCAGAGCTATACAACCCTATATTTCCTGGCCTACTCACCCAAGTCCTGCTAAATTCCTGGTATTAACTTATTAGGAACTTGAATGGTAGAGCATTTGATTCCATGTGTAGCAACAGGGAGGGGTGCCACTTTACACCACTTCTTCTTGTCTGGATCATAACATTCTGTCTCCAGAGTGCAAAGTGAATTCCTGTCGCATCCCCCCACAACATAGATTTTGTCACTCTCTACAGCAATAGCAGCATCCCATCTTGCTGTGCTTGCTTTTGCAATGGATGACCATTGGTCTATATCTGGTTCATACATCTCGCCTGAGTTCAAATGATTTGCTCCATCCCATCCACCTAAATTAAAATACCAAACATTTTCTGTTATAATAAAGTAGGGTTCAGTTGATGTATTCATGAATTTAACCATAATATGCTAATTAGTTTCAGCCATTACAAAACTCGTCAATAACAAAGTTTCAACTACATGTATAATTATATTAATTTTGATGTAAATTTTGTATATTTACTGGAAATATATGTTTTTTTAATATTAGATATAATATAATATAAGATAATAATTTTAATAACTTATGATTATGATATAATGATGATGCCATTGACTTTGCTTTACCCACCAATCACAAATATCTTGCCATTACATACAGCCCCACAAGCACTGGCTCTTTTCTGCTGCATGGGGTTGATTGACACCCAAGTGTTTGTCATTGGATCAAAACACTCTCCAGAGTTTAACGACATTCCAACATAATTTACACCACCCACAACATATAATGCCCTGCCTGTTGCCATGACACAGGGACTACTACGGCAGGTACTCATGGGTGCTACATACTGCCAGTTATCAGTCACCGGGTTGTAACTCTCAACACTGTTTAAACGAAAGTTGTTTTCATCACATCCCCCAACAGCATACAAACGACCTGGAATCAGTTATTCAAAGCATAATTTTCAGCAAAAATCAAGATATTCAGGGGTATATCCTGGGTTTTCATTGGAGGGGGGAGTGGGGGTCCAGTAGAAGATATTATACTTACCATCCAATACAGCAACATTCAATAAGCTCCGTCTTATATTCATGGAGGCAACAGTATTCCAGGTATTGGTTCGTGGATCATAACGTTCTACAGTACTAAGTGAACTCTGTGCTGCACCTGTAAATGATACATTAAGAATGACGATCATAATGTTTAATGCACACGAACAATACCTATGCTGGAGTTTAGCTATAGTCTTTCTATAGAACAAATTAATGAGGCAAATAGATAAACATAATCACTATATATTCACGATATACATTCACTATGTATTCACTCATTACATTTTGGATGTCAATCATTTTATTGTTAGAGCACAGTAGATGACAGTAGACCCACCTTCCATAACATTTCATTATTTAAAATATTGGGGAGAGGACAGAATAAGAAATGGGAAGAGACGAAAACAAACGAACAACACATTTTACAAAATGACATAGTTTTACCCACCTTCCCTTGATTGCCCCCCTACAGCATATACCATATCACCAGACAGAGCCAGCCCATGTCGGCATCGTGCTACATTCATCGGGGCAAGGGGGTACCATCTGTTTGTTTTGGGTACAAAACAAAAGGTATTTTTCATCACGGTCGCCCCCTGAATCCCCCCAGCAGCAAATATAACTTTCATAACTCCCATGGATTTTCTAGGTTTTGTTCTTGAGCCTTTGATGAGGTGTCGTCTATCTGGTAACATATGGTAATTCTTTGCCTCTAGTAGGAGAGCTGTACATTCAGGAGTTCCAAGCACAATCTCTTCCGTCTCGACGAAGTCCGCAAGATAGTAGGGCGACATTTGAGGGAAACGAATATGCTTTGCAAGTCGTGAAAAGAGTGGACTGCGGTTCTTTTCGTCGTGTTTAACCCAAGTAATTAACGCTTCAAATATGTGTTCTTCACGTTCAACCTTAGTATCGTCACTGACCAAAAATTCCTCTAATCTCTCTGCTGAGAGCATTTTGAACTCGTCAGTTTGGGAGACAGTAAAAAAGTTGTTATAAATATAGTTGTTTGCTGTTTCTCGAAGGGTTTCACAATCAAACTGGTCGGCTGCCGATTCAATGCCCAAACAGTTGGAAGGATTAAGCATCGATTTCATGAACGACACACAAGCGTCCTTTAGACTTGTCATTAACAAATAATTTGAAGCTGAGACGAGGTCTTTGACGTTGAACGGCGTAATTTTAATGGTTCCTGTGTAAATAAAGTTAAGCAGTTCTTCCATTACCTCTGCTGTGATGTTCTCGAGTATAACTGGCTTTGCGTCTGTCTGTTCACGAAAATGATTGGAAAACATGGCTCGGAAGTAGGGGCTGGCTGCTGCAAGAACATTGCGATGAGCATAGAACGGTTTGCCGTTAACAACGATTGTCACTTCACATAAAACATTGTGCTTTCTAAAGTCATTTAAGCATTGCATTAAAGCAACACAGTAATTTGCTTCTGGTAGCTGTACTTTTGGACTAGGGTACGAGATATTCTCAACTGGCGTCGGCGCCGCCATTTTGCTTCGACGTCTTTACTTTTGTTTAGTTAGAAAACAACGAGGGAGGGGTAGGCCAATTTTTGTTAATCCAAGATCAAAAGCTTCCACAGCTGAATCCTTATGGAATGAAGGAAACATAAAAGAACTCATACTAATCTAATATGACCATTCAAACCATTGAAAATGAGCTATCAATTTTTTCTTTTTGCTTTCTTCGTTTTTTTTTTCTTTTTTATATATCTTTTTTCAGATTAATTAAAAAGTGGTTATAAACGATGAATCATTTTTTTTCTTTCTTTTTGTGATACCTCATTAATTAATACAGATAGCATATTAGTTTAATCTTAACGATTTTTCAATAAAAGAGTTTCCAAATAATTGACCTCGTCCCCCGCCAATTTCGAGTGGGAGGGGGGCCGGGAGGGGGTGTGTGGGGTTCACTCGAACGTACCCTGGAAACGAGTTTAACAAAAAAAGTTCTTTCATGTTTGAATTCTTGTTCTTTGAATAGAAAACTAAATATTCAAAATGGCTCAATATGCCCTGGAAGAAGTTACACTGCGATGGGATTTAACGCCAGAGGAAATAGCCAACAAAACTAAGGAAGTCATAGCAAAATCCAAAAAAGTTTACGATGCTGTTGGATCGCTAAAGCCAGGAGAAGTGACTTCAGAGAACTGCTTGCAGGTTCGCCGAGCTTTCAAGCTCTCAAAATTTAATTCTTTTTTTTTTCAAATCCTAAAACATTGAAGTACTCCAAACATATTTACTTTCGAGTTAATTAAGGGGTTTTAACCCTTAAAAAGTCAAACATTGTTGGCTATATAATATACAGCCTTTCAAGGGATATTCCTTGATGTAAGCTTATTTTCACACATACTTAAGTTTAACCAATATTTTCAATGACAGGCGTTGGCAGACGACGAACGAGAATTCAATAGTAACAAAGCCGAGATTGAATTTCTTCAGCATGTGTCTTCAGGTACATGATTGTAGTAATTAAGTGAATTCAACAAACTATGTCGTAAATGCTATAAAGACAGGGTAAATAGGATTTCACCTGATCAAAATACAAATATTTTTCTCAATACAGACAAAGATGTGAGGGCCRCCAGTACAGAGGCTGAGAGAGTCATTTCAGAATTTGGTGTGGAAATGAGGCTAGTTCAAAATGGTTTTGTTGACATTCAATCAAATCTCTATTCATTCATTCAATCATCCATTCATTCATTCATTCAACCATCCACTAATTATCCATCCATTTTTTCATTCGTCAATTCATTATCTTTCATCCATTCTTCCATCCAATTCTTTATCCTATCAATTTGACATAGATTTTCCATAGGAACCAATAATAATCATTGTTACCAATACTATTATATCGATGGTCTGTTATTTTCAGCTGGATAACTGTATCATTTTGCTAATTTTAGTTTGTTTATTTAATATAGCATGAGAAAGGACATCTTTGATAACTTAGTATCACTTCAGGTAAGATGAGATCACTTATTACTTACCACTTATTACGCCTTTTTGTTTCTGTTTTCCTTTTTGTTTAACGTCAACGAGCGTTACTTGTTATTTTAGTAAAGCTTCGAGTAGTTAGCCTTTCAAACTTTAGAAGGCAACTGCTGACATAGTATTTGTATATTTTTTCTCAGGGATTTTGATGATGTGGGCTCCCTGTGCCCCATCTTTTATCAAGATGACTATATATGCCAAAACAGACATGAGGTCATTAAATGTTGTCAGTGGAAAAGACAATCATAAGTCTCCCTTGCTTATTGGTGCAGTCCATTTTCACTTCTTTAAGATCATAAATAGCTTTTTTACTTAGAGGGGATAAAAATGAAAAGTAGGCAGACTAAATACATCTGTAGTCTATAGAATAGTTCAAAATTTACAATGCTTGCACTTTCTTTACAGGAGAAATGTGAGACATCTTTAACTCCAGAAGGAAAGAGGGTCTTGGAAAGATTGATTAAATTAGGAAAACGAAATGGTAATAACTTAATGAATTATCAATGTTCAAGATTGGTATTAATGATTGTGCTTCCAGGTGCATGGCTTATTAAGCAACATTAAACWTGAAGCTGCAGTTAGTATAAATTCTGTCCAGAAAGCACAGCTTACATCATACAATAGCTACCTATTTCAAGAGAAATCATGGCAGACATTTATTATTCACTAATGTTTTGAAATAAAAACAACTGCTGATGATTGATAGCAGAATGACAATGAGCAGARCAATCTTTTCTGGAATTCTATAGGTTATTGCCTCATGCAAGTTAACTTGAAACATTAATTATTGAATATCAGCCAGTTGATGACTTACTGAGAGCCATCCAATATACTCTACACAGTCAGGCTGTTTATTACTAATACTTACTAGTAGCCAATAATTGTGATAGTACATTATTCATGTTGAGTGAGTTGTATTTTGATGTTTTCAGGTCTTCATTTGCCAAGCAATGTACAAGATGAAGTCAAAGAAATCAAAAAGAAACAGAGTGATCTGTCTATCAAGTTTAGTAGCAACTTGAATGAAGAAAACACAAAGTTGTCTTTTGAATTGTCTGATTTAGGTACTGATTATCGTCCTATAGAAATAAGTTATAGTCAACATTCACTTTTAAATCATTACTGACATTTAAGTTAACTTGTTGAAAGAGTTTGACAATCGTAATACAAATAATATATTATATTTTGTGGATTTGTTTATGAAACTAATTTTTTTTACATTTCTTTAACAGCTGGTCTTCCAGAAGATTTCATTAAATCACTAGAAAAGGTTTGTGGATGATATCAAAAATTGAGACAAAATTAAAATTACTATTGGCACTTCACTGTGAAAGAAAGTAATAAACTGTATGTGTTGAACAGGACGTTTATTCCAGAGAACTCTAAGTTTTTACCGAAGTCTTGCACAATGAGTGAGGGTGTCAAATGTCCATGACACGTGCTAGTCACGCAACTTGTCACATCTTCCCTCTTCTAACATGAACGCTACTGATTC